TCTAATGATGCTTTTCATTGTCTAGTAGGGAAGACAGGCATAACATAGTTTCATAAAATAAATTTAAATAAAATTTAAATTTTTTTAAGAACATTGTTTTATTTGTTTAGTTAAATATAATTAAAGTGCATTTTTGGGAAAATGTTTAAGAAAAATAAAAATAATGCATTTTGAAACAAATGAAATAAAAATAAGCATGTTTAAAATTTACACTAAGAAATAGAATTTTAAATCTGGTGAGATTAGAACAGACTAAATGAAAATATGCTAAGTGAAAAAGGTCTGTCAAAAAAGACCAGATATATTATATGATTATATTCATATGAAATGTCCAGAATAAGCAAATATAGTGAGACAGAAAAGAAGATTACAGTATGCTTAAGGCTTGGTGGGATCTAGAGGTAGAGGAGTGACAGCAAATGGGTACAGGTTTCTTTCTGAGATGATGAAAACAGTCTAAAGTTGACTATGATGATGGTTGCACATATTTGAATATACTAAAAACAACTGAATTATACACTTTAAATGAGTGAACTGCATAGTATATGAATTACATTTTAACACATTGTATGCGGGAAACGTATTTATATGTTTTACGTATTTATACGTTCTACCAGTGTAGTAGAGCGCGGGACATGTATTAATACGTTTTTTATAGACAAGCGGTAGAATGCGGATAACGTATAAATACGTAAACTAAAGTTATCGTAATTTTACTGAACGTTGCCATTTGCGCAAAAAATTAGCAAAAATGGCCCACACCACCTGTTAGCACAAGATAAAAACTACCCGCAAACAATGTGTTAATACAGTTTTGATTTAAAAAAACTAAAGAACAGTTTGAAGAGGAAGATGGGCAATTTGCGGAGAGTTTAAGATGACATCAATAGCTAACATGATGATATTACTAATGGCCCAGTGAACGAATTCGTGCACCTTGAAAGGAACTGTGGGCTGCGAGGCTGCAGTGGGCACAGGGGCAGGTCTCAGCCCATCCTCCGCACCCCCGCCTGGCCCCTCCCACTGCCTCCCCCAATCCTCTGTCTGCCGGCAGCCCCACTCCCACCACCGCCACTGCCACTCCCATGCGCTGACAGTGTGGAGCGATTTGGGGCTGACGCCAGCTGCAGGTGCGAGCACGGTCGGTGCTGTCAGCAGGTGCGAGCGGCGGCTGTTGCCCCTAGCACCCCTCAGGAGCAGGGGCAGGTGGAGAAGCCCTCAGGGGCAATCAGGGCTGACAGTTGCTGCTCACACCCACTGATGGTGCTAAGCGATCAGGACTGACACCGAGCGCCAGCAGCAGGTGCAAGTGGGGCCAGCGCTGGAAGTGGGTGTGAGCAGTGGCTCCAATGCCGGGAGCAGGTGTGAGCAGCTGTTGCCAGCACTGATCACTCCTCAGGAGCAGGGAAAGGTGGAGAAGCGCTGAGGGGCGATCGGAGACAGCAGCAGCCACTCGGACCCACTGACAGGTCCAGGCACAGTCAGCGGGTGTGAGCAGCAGCTCTGGTGCCAGCAGTGGGTGCAAGCAGAGCCAGCACCAGCAGCAGGTGCGAGCGCTGGGCAGGACTGCAGTGCACAGGAGTAAAGAATTTTCAGTAACCACCAGAGGCTGGTCCTAATGACAGTGACCGGCACCCTGCCTTGGTCTGGCGCCCTGCTTACCTGCTCCACCATCCCGCCACAGCTGACACCCACCATGTTTCAGGCTCTGCCGCCTGCTGCCTACTCCCGCCATGTTCGGCACACCCCCTAGTGGTCAGCGCACATCAGAGTGACTGTTTATTCAGTTGTTCTGCTGTTCGGTCTATTTGCATATTAGCCTTTTATTATATAGGATTTTTATCTCTAAATATGTAGCCTCCTTGTTCTTACCACTAAAGGCTTTATACCAACCAGATTTTAACTCACAAAAAGAAATGTAAATATCCTTGTATTAACTAAGAAAGAGTGAGAAAGATGGGCAAAATTCAGTGGAACCAGGGGAAAAGGAGAAAAGAGTAAAGGGAGAGGGAGGGAGGAGAAGTCAAGGAGTGCAGAAGCCTCAGTAAGGAGTGTCTGGCAGCATGGAGGAGGAACATTTCCCAGCATTCCCCATTCCGACGGAAAGAAGTGGCTGTGTGGAAACAGACTGGCCTCAAGATTAATAGAGCTGTTCACTATTGTGTTTTTGGTTTTTTTCCCACTGGAAGTTACACAAAGAATAACAGAAGAAACACTGGTGAGGTAATTCCCTATGATAGCCATCAGAGGACACCATGAGTCCAGGATGGTCTAGTTGCTTTCAAACTTTTCAGAAAACAGCTAAGGCATTCTATACAATAAATGGCTAATATGCAAATATACTGAACGGTGGAATGACCAGTCGCTATGATGCACATTGACCACCAGGGGGCAGATGCTCAATGCAGAAGCTACCCCATGGTGGTCACTGCACTCCCACAGGGGGAGCACTGCTCAGCCAGAAGCCAGGCTCACGGCTGGTGAGCGCAGCGGCGGTGGCGGGAGCCTCTCCCGCCTCTGTGGCAGCACTAAACATGTCTGACTGCCAGCTTAGGCTTGTTCCTAAGCGTTGGACATCCCCTGAGGGCTCCCGGACTGCGAGAGGATGCAGACTGGGCTGAGGGAACCCCCCCCTTGAGTGCACGAATTTAGTGCACCAGGCCTCTAGAAGAAAAATAATTTGCTAACAGTCCTTGGTAACTCTATATAGACCATTTACAATGTCCTAGTTCTAAGATTACCTAGAAATTCCCTTTTACCAAAATATAATTTATAAAAGATATTAGGAATTATATTTTACCTATATTTAAAATAAGTTAAAAAGGCAGTTCTGCTTTTTTCTAGATGGACTGATAGAGTATGGTAGTAACAGCATCTTAGATCCATGCAATAAATAATTCTTTACAAAACCACTAAAATCATGTTTACAGTTATCTACATTTAATACTTATAAACCCAGGACTGTGTTAAATAATACAAAAGATAAAAAGTAAAAACTTAGTCTCTATCTATCCCTTAGGAGCTTAAAACCTTAGTAGGGAGACAAGGGGTACATGAGGTAACTTCATGAGGTAACTTTTCCACCATTCAATGCAATAAGTGACAGTAGTTCAGAAAAAAAAGAGATCATAAAAAGGCTGAGGTTAGTCTGGCAAAGCCTCCTAAAAAGTCAGCATAGCATTTAACTGTAAAGTTTAACTAAAAAAAACCAAGGACATTGGAGGCAGGGGAACTACACCTGAGCAATGTCAGAAGGGAATGTGTACAGCAGGTGATATGAACCATGAAAGACCTAACTAGGTTAGGGAATGAAGAGTTGGAAAAGGAAAATTTAGCATCTGTAGAAATCCTTGACTCTAACAAATGGGAAACTATCTAATAAATAAGTCTAACATAGTTTCATAAAATAAGGAAGTAACAATACAAGTTTCTGTTTTAAAAAGCTTTAAAACTTTTATTTACTCATTCAACAAACATTTACTGAACAGCTACTATCTGGCACTGCAATAGGTATTCGGGTGACTCCATTTCTGCTCTAATGATGCTTTTCATTGTCTAGTAGGGAAGACAGGCATAAATAAAGGGTTCAAAGTTTCTAGAAAAGATAAAAAGTAGAAACTTTTGGCTCAGTTTGGCTCAGTGGATAGAGCATCAGCCTGGGAACTAAAGGTTCCGGGTTCGATTCTGGGCAAGGGCACATACCCGGGTTGTGATTCTCTCTCATCATGGATGTTTCTCTCTCTCTCTCCCTCTACCTTCCCCTCTGAAATCAATAAAAACATATATTTTTAAAAAGTTTCTAGAAGACAGAAATGAAAAATTACTCTATTTCATATAATCAAATATCATAATCAAATGCTTTATGTATTTCAGAGAAACCTGATCAAATCTAGATCAGGTAAAATTTTCTGAGGAAGCAAAGTCTGAACTTAGCTCTAATGAACAAACAGAAGTTAGGCAAAGATGTGGGAGAAAAATATTTCAGTGGTCAGAGGAACAACAGTGCTAAAAAACAGGCTTCTTTGAGGAATGAGCAGAAGGGCAGTATAGTTGGACAAAAATAAGCCAAGAAGAAGGATTAGGACCAAGAACTATGAGGTGAGGCTTGGAGAAGCTATCAAGAACCAGAGCATGCACAATCTTGGAGTCTTCATTAAAAATTGCAGTCTTTGCCCTGGCCAGTATGGCTCAGTTTGTTGAAGCATTGCCCCCTGCACCGAAGGGTCACAGGTTCGATACCCAATCAGGGCACATACCCAGGTTGCGGGTTCGATCTCCAGTCAGGGTGCATATGAGAGGCAATCAATCAATGTTTCTCTCTCTCTCTCTCTCTCTCTCTCTCTCTCTCTCTCTCTCAAATATACATAAAAACATATCCTCAGGTGAGGATTAGGGAAACAAAAACAAAAACAAAACAAAAAACAAACCTGCAGTCTTCATTCTAAAAGAAAAGAGAATCCATTGAAAGGGAAGAAAAGACTGGAGGGACTTCAGATACAGAGATCAAGTAAAATTTCATACCACTTAAATAAAGTATCTAGAGAGAAGCCACTTGGAGGTTTTTCAGTTTAGGGGAAACTCTCCAATATTCACCTAGTATAGAATGGGTAATATATTTTACAGCATAGAAAAATAATGGCATCTACGCTCATTAGGAAGAGAAATGCTTCTTACCTTTGGAATGCTGCCCTTAAAAAGGTAAAGTATACCTTGACAGGCTTCTCAAGGGATATTTATATTAATATTTATTTTTAAAAATCAAATAAATTCATCACTTACAAAGACGATATATAAATTAATCATGAATATACCACATTTTGCACAAAGAGGCTTTTAAATCAATAAAATCTGACTTTTAATTGTGATTATCTTTTTTAAAAACCAATGAAATTTAATAAAAGCCCAAGAAGTATTTAAACATTATACTTTGAGAAAATCAATTTACTGAAATTGATCAAAATAACTGGACAAAATTTTACTATAGCTCCTATCATACTAACTGTATCTTGGTGCTTTGGTGAAGAGGGAGAAGATTCATTTTCAGGAAAGCAGGGTTTTGAGGCAGGTGGAGATTCCTATAAGAAATTAATGAAAAATGTTATTCTAACTTATATAATTTTATTTCTCCTTCTGCTCATAGTATGAGAGTTTACTAGAGGAAACTAGGAAAATTATTGTCCTTCTATATTGAGCTCCGAAAATAATATGGTACTGATTTGAAAACTACAGATATCAAAAAGTTTACGAAATATGGCATATTTTATACCAATTAGTTAAATTTAAATACCACATGTAGAATTACTCAAAAGAAATGATGCATGTTTTCTTAAATCATGATGTCTCATAAGCTTAAATTAACCATATTTAAAATAGATAAAATCTAAACACTTGTGATAAAAATGTAATAGTTACCATACTAATTTGTTATTGGTATGGTAGGTATGAATACCCAGGATTAGGCAAGGAATGGTCACAGGAATTATTTGATAACTGCGAGAATGAGAACTTTATTTTAGTAAATAGTTATGTTAGAAATTAAATTATTAATATTTAAAGTGATTTACAGCTAACTTTCCAATTATTAGAAATAAGACCTTTAAAATACAAAACAGACACCTCCAATATAAAGATTAATAACTCACCAGAAAAAAATTTAATTTCTAAGCCTATAAAAATACAATAAGGGCAAACCAATAATGTGCATTTTTAAAGCAATTCTGCTTTGTCAATTATTAAAAATGGTATATGATTTCTTCCACAGATGTTCATAAGACTATTCATGGAGGATAAAACTGAAAAATCATTTTTAAATTTTTTTGGTATCAGCAGCCAAATTTAAATGGATTTAAATTTTCTCCATGCCCCTAGATCAGTGGTTCTCAACCTGTGGGTCGCAATCCCTTTGGGGGTTGAACGACCCTTTCACATAGGTCGCCTAAGACCATCGGAAAACACATATATAATTACATATTGTTTTTGTGATTAAGCACTATGCTTTAATTATGTTCAATTTGTAACAATGAAAATATATCCTGCATATCAGATATTTACATTATAATTCATAACAGTAGCAAAATTACAGTTATGAAGTAGCAACGAAAATAATTTTATGGTTGGGGGTCACCACAACATGAGGAACTGTATTAAAGGGTCACGGCATTAGGAAGGTTTAGAACCACTGCCCTAGATGCTTTGAATAATTACAGGAAAAGAGAATTTTAAAAAATCACTGCCAATGCTATTATTAATTTTCCTATAAAACCAAATAATCTCTTTGAACATTCATCTTCACATCTGTATCAGTCTACTCTTCTATGCTTATGAAACTGGATAAGGAACTGGAAATTTGTACTAAATCACAAAACAAACTGTTAACTCAACATACAAAACCTGTTAACTCTGGGAAGTCTTCAGATTTATATCCTATATAATTTGTAAACAGAGAAACTAGGCAGTATTGAAAATTTAACCCTTGGAGGGACAACCTTCCAAATCAAACATCCTAAGTCATCTATACTATTAGTGGAGAACACATTAAAATTATATTAAACATATCTTTACAAAGAGAAATAACACTTAATGCTCAAATTTCAGTTTAGCCCCCTTTATGTACTTTGAGAGTTTCACATTTTTCACTTTTTAATTTCTTAACTTCTAAAAAAGTATCTAATATTGAAACAGTCTGAGGAAAAGATTAGTAACTCACACCCTAGAAAATAAGCAACTGAGTAAAATGAACAGTAATTATAGTTCATTTTTCATAGCATATCAGTCCTACAGAAATAAAAAACGCATCAAATGGAGTAATTATGTGTAACTATTTTAATTGTTATTATAAAGAAACAATTTTACATTTATACATTTACTTATGTGTATTGTAAGTGTATATGCATGTATAAATATATCTTAAATTTCTCCAAACAGTAGGTTTTAGTAAAAGCTATAAGCAGACAGAAACAAACAGATGCACTACATAAAACACACAACATGCACACACCTCCCTTCTCCACAGTTGTCTGCAACATCCTAACATTTGCTACACTGTTCTGGTATAGTCCATCTTTCATAGCCTCAAATCATTAAATGGTATTATTATATGACTAGAAGCCTGATATACGAAGATTCATGCAAGAATAGGGCTTCCTTCCCCTGGCTGCCGGCACCGCCTTCGCTCAGGCCGGAGCCACCTTTCCACCTTCGCTCTGGCCCAGACTGGCCTTTCCGCCTTCCCACACTGCCCAGAGGCCCGAAGCAACTGGGGGCGGTGCGGAAGGCCTGCGTCGTCTCCATGGCGACAATGCAAGTGTCCCACCCCGCCCCCAGCCGCTTGGTGCGTGTGCGCTGCCCATAGGCCCTATCTTTGTCGGGTTAATTTGCATACTCAGTCCTGATTGACTGGTGGGCATCATGAAGGGATGGTCAATTTACATCTTTCTTTTTCATTAGTGTAGACTAGAGGCCCAGCACATGAAATTAGTGCACGGGAGGGGGGGGTCCCCTCAGTCCAGCCTGCACCCTCTCCAATCCGGGACCCCTCAGGGGATGTCCGACTGCCGGTTTAGGCCTGGACATTCCTCTCACAATCCTGGACCACTGGCTCCTAATCGCTCACCTGCCTGCCTGCCTGGTCACCCCTAACTGCCCCCCCTCCCTGCCTGCCTGGTCTATCTTAACTGCCCCCCGCCCTGCCAACCTGGTCAGCCCATGCAGCCTGTTCAGTCATTTGGTTGTCCCTCCCTAACACCCCTACCAGCCTGGTCGCCCCATGCAGCCTGCTGTTCAGTCGTTTGGTCGTCCCTCACTAACACCCCTGCCAGTCTGGTTTCCCCACACAGCCTGCTTGTTCAGTCGTTTGGTTGTCCCTCACTAAACCCCCTGGTGGCCTGGTCATAGGCAGCCATCTTGTGTGGACATGAGGGTCAATTTGCATATTATATAGGATGATAATAAAAAGAAAAGTTTACATGGTGAAGCAATTATCTGTGATTCTATTTATAAAGGTCTAGATGCCCAGTGCACGAAATTTGTGCAATGGGTAGAAGGGGTCTCTCAGTTGGGACTGCACCCTCTTATAATCTGGGAGCCCTCAGGGCATGTCCGACTGCAGCTTTAGGCCCAATCTGGGACCACTCGGGGCAGGTCCGACTGCCGCTTTAGGCCCTGCTGGATCAGGCCTATACTGGAAGTCAGATATCTCTCTTGCAATCTGGGACCGCTGGCTCCTAACCACTCGCCTGCCTGCATGATCACCCCTAACCATTCTGCCTGCCTGCTTGATCGCCCCTAACCACTCGTCTGCCAGCCTGGTCGACTCTAACCATTCGCCTGCCTGCCTGATAGCCCATAAACACTCACCTGCCTGCCTGGTGGCCCCTAACCACTCTCCTGCCTGCTGATCGCCCCTAACCACCTCTGCCTGCCTGCCTTATCTCCCCTAACTGCTTGCCTTCTGCCTGATCACTCTGCCTCAGCCCCCACCACCACGACTTCATCCAGAAGGACGTCCTGAATGATGTCCAGAAGATTGTTCAGCTATCTGGTCTTATTAGCATGTTATGCTTTTATTATTATAGACTATAGGACTGGTGCATGAAATTCATGCATGGGGCATGGGTTTCCTGCAGCCCGGCCTACACACTCTCCAATCCGGGACCCCTCAGGGAATGTCAACTGCCTCACTCAATCTAACCACTTCTGACTGCCTGCCTGATCGCCCCTAACTGCTCCCCTACCGGCCTGATGCCCCTAACCTACTCTGCCTCGCCCCACACCCAGGAGCCAGGATTCCCTCCTCTGGCTGGTCACAGGAACCCAGGACCGGGGCTTCCCTCCCTCTGGCCAGCCACAGGCACCCACGACCCAGGCTGGCTTCGCCCGTGCTGGCCACAGCCATAGGGGACTGTGGTCGGGCGGCTTCACCCAGGCCACAGCTGCAGGCACCCGGGACCGCAAGGCAGGCAACTTGTCCCTCTCCCAGGTCACAGGGGCAGGCGCTGCCGCCTGAGACCACAGGGTGTGCGGCTTGTCCTTCTCCCGGGCTACAGGCACAAGTGCTGGTGCCCAGGACTGCAGGAAAGGTGGCTTGTCCCTCTCCCGAGCTGCAGGCACAGGCACTAGCACCTGGGACCACAGTCTGGGCAGCTTGTTCCTCTCCTGGGCCGCAGCCCAGCTGGTCCCCATTCCTCTCTCGTGACCTCATTTATGCCTAGCTGATCCCCATTCCTCTCTCCCCAATGTTGAGTGTCTAAGCAGTTTTGGCGTGATGGTGTGAGGGTGTTATGACTATTTGCATATTAGCTCGTTATTATACAGGATAAGGTAGGGAGGGGGAGAGACATTTCTACCAAAAATAAGTAAATCCTGGTCTCAAGAAAATCATGTCCTCACAACTCTGACACAATTTGAAAAAGAAAATGTAATTAAGAACTTCATAAAAGTTACTCTAATTGACTGAAAATAAATTTCAAGATAAATTAAAAAGGAGGAAAAACCAAGATGGCAGCATAGGTAAACACCGGAAATTTTGCCTCGCACAACCACTTCAAAAATACAACTAAAAGACAAAAATGAACATCATCCAGAACCACAGGAAGGCTAGCCGAGTGGAAATTCTACAACTAGAAGGGAAGAGAAAAGCACACTGAGACTCAGAGGAGGTGCAGTGTGGAAGTAAAGTGCAGAGGTACGCACACGCGAAAATGGCTGGAAACTGAGGACGCGCCTTTCTTTTTCAATTGGGAGGGAGACACACGCTCCTGCTCTGAATGCCAGTTCCAGGCAAGTCTCTGGGGACCCAGACTCATACGAGGAGAAACTGGACTGTCTGGCATCGGGCAGACCTCGAGGGCAGCATTCTCTCAGAGGCACCTGCAGCGATTACCACAGAACAGTGAGACCCGGGTCCTTTTAGGGCAGGGCTGAGGATCAGCCATAGCTGCTTGCTCCACCCTGTTGATTCCGTGAGACCCCGCCCCAACCAAGCTGTGCTCAGAGCCTTTCTCATATGAATGCCCTGGACCTTTACAATCTGAAAATTACCTAACAAACTGCAGCTGGTCCAGACAGACCCAGAACATCCAAAAAGAAGGCCCAAAGCCCCACAGCAGCTTGCACTCTTCACAGCTGGGCCTCATCAGGGCACCTCCAAACTCCAAACAAACAAAAGGAATCTGCAGATCTCTCCGTAGCTCCTGCTGGGTAGCTTCAGGCAGAGGCTAAATTAGCACCTCCTTAGAAATCCAAGAGCCAGTATACCCAATGGTCAGAGTGGACCATCCAGATTACAGCTCTTCAGATCCATAAGGGAAACACTCAGGGGGCAGACTCAGTGAGCACCAAAGCCCCACTGAAGAAAGTCTTGCCCCATGGGTGTCTCCAGCACAGAAGTTCTCCCACCATAACCACAGATGATTCTCACAGCCAATTGGCCTGGAGGTCAATTCCTCTCAGTGATACCTACAACAATCAAGGTTTAACTACAACAAGACTGTGCACAAAGCCCACAAAGGGGTGTACCAAGAGTGTCCACCTCAGGTAATTGGCGAGGCTGAGCCACTGTGCCCTACCAACACAGGGAAGCAGCCAAAATGTGGAGACAGAGAAACAGGTCACAAATGACAGAAATGGAGGAAAGCAAACTACTGGATATAGAGTTCAAAAACCACACT